CGAAGCCATTCGCGCTTCGGCGCCCGTGCTCTCCCTCCATTTGCACTCGCCGATGCTTCGGCCCGAAGCTGGTCGAGGATCGAAGGACGAGCGGAGGTGTACGGGGAGAAGCAGCAGAGCACTGGAGGAGGAGGAGGAGGAGGAGGAGGAGGAAAACCTGACCGCATATTTATCCGCCCTTCCCACTACTCCTCCTCGTCTCCCTCCCCTCTGTCCCCCCCTCGTCCTTCTCCAGTGCTGCGTACCGGCGTGTGGGAGTAGTGGTGGTCCTGACGCCTGGCAGAGATGCGAGAGGAACGAATGTAATATGTGGAATCAAAAAGTGATGTGCAGGTAGATGGTCTGGTACGGGTACATGGGCGCCCTCCTTGGGGCGGGGCACCGCGCTGGGTGCCGCCCGAATTCTTGAGCCGAAATGGCTTGAGTCAAAATGGCTACGGACCTCCTGCTGCTTCTCCTGGTTCTCCCCCTCCTCCTCCTCCTCCTCCTCCTCCTCCTCCAACCGCCTCCCTTTCCTCCGCCTCCACTCTCCTGTTTCCCTCCTCTCTCTCTCTCTCTCTCCCTCTCTCTCTCTCTCTCTTTCTCTCTCTCTCTCTCTCTCTCTCTTTTTTTTTTTTCTCTCTCTCTCTCTCTCTCTCTCTCTCTCTCCCCCGGACCTCCGACGTCATGCTTGTTCACGACATGGACCCCCAGCGGTCTCGACCCCTTCCGCGGGACCGGCGATTCCTCCCGAGCAGTTGTTGGACCGCCCAGGAGCCCGGCGAGGGCCCCAATGCGCAGGAGTCCGTCAAACGCTCTGCGCTGTCTGTTTTTTTTCTCACCGCGTGAGGTGCCCGGGCTCCTGCCTCTCCCTTGCTCGACTAGACTTGAAAGTGACCCTTCGCCGGAGTGACCTTTGGTGCGGGCACATTGGGGTCCCCCGATCGCCGAGCGCCATGCGATGGTAGCGCCCTGCGCGCCTGTGGTTGGCACCCCCGCGGCTCCCCCAAAAAGCCGCGCACCAAAGGTCACTCTTACCCAGGGTCACTCTTGCGTGTAGCCCACTCTCCTTTGCCCCGCTTGCCGGAGCCTCCGAGACAGCACACCCCACATGCTGCTGCCTCCCAGCATTAAGTCGGGCCTGTCCCTCTACAGGAGGACTATTCCAAAATAGTCAAGAAATAGTCTGGGGACTATGTTTGGAGTATTTTTTGACCATTGTTGGAATATCTTTTTGTTATATATTTATTTATTCGTCGAACATCCCCCTGTAGAGGGACACGCCCGACTTAATCCCAGCACTCCTGCTGCTGTTGCCATGCCTGTTGCGGGCCTGCCTCCCGAGACGGCGCCAGGGTCGTGCGGCGTTTACCGCGCTGCCTCACACGAGGCCCGCAGCAGACACAGCCCTCCTCCCTCCCCCCCCCCCAGGCTCCTCTCTCTTCCGCCCCCCCCACTGCCAGTTCTCCCGCTGCCGATCTCTCCTACTTGGCTTCTCTCATCGGGGAAATGCAGGACTCGAGCTCGCCAGAACTCGCGTTAGCCGCCCTCTTTTGTCGGGCCGTTCCTGGATTTTGGTGCTCCAGTGTTCGTGGAATGTTGGCGGCGGGATCTCGCGCGAAGTTCCAGATTCTCTCTCGTCGTTTTCCTGGCGGCCACGGCCAACCCGAGACTCCCGAGCCCGAGGCGTGCGTCTCCCCGGCTCCTCCTCCTGGTGCTGCTGCTGCTGCCACCCATGGCCACGAGTTAGCGCTGCGGCTTTGGCGCTCGGGCGGCCACGCTGTCCCTGGAGTCAAATCGGGCCTGGCCCTCTACAGGAGGAAGATCCAAAAATACTAAAAACATTCGTCAGGGGACGACTTTTCTACAGTGTTTGACTATTCGCGGTATCTTCTGATGATTGTTTTCTATTTATCGTCCAAGATCCGCCTGTAGGAGGACATGCCCGATCTAAGCTTCAGTCGGGCCTGTCCCTCGACAGGGGGAATCCCCACAAATAGTTTACAGATAGTATGGGGACTATTTGTGGACCATGTTTGAGCATTTTTGGTGCATCTTCGGTGTATTTTTGGTGTATGTTGAATTTTCCTCCAAAATCCCCCTGCAGGGGGACATGCCCGACCTAAGTCTAAGCTCATACGCTGCGGTGGGCCGGCCGCTGGGTGTCCCCGGCGGGCGGCTCTGCACCACCGCCGGCTATGCGTCTTGACGGCCTCACGCCACGGCCGCTGCGCCATGGGGGCCATCCATGGCCCCCCAGGGGGAGGGGGTCCTCCTCCTCCTCTTCTTCGTCCTCCTTCTCCTCGTCCTCCTCCTCCTCCCCCCTCCAACTTATGGTGGTGGTGGTGGAAAACACGCCCATCAAGTCGGGCCTGTTTCTCTACAGGAGGAAGATTCAGAAATAGTCAAAAATAGTATGGGGAGGATGTTTCTTGTGTTTTGTTTTTCGTTTTTGTTGATCCGTTTGTTGACTTGGGGAGGGATGTTCGAGTTTTTTTCTGCGTATTTGTTGATCAGCATGTTGACTTTTGGTCACGTTTCGTCCAGAATCCGCCCGCTGGAGGACATGCCCGACCTAAGCGTACAGCTAAGACGCGCATCCAGGTCAGGGCAGCTGCGCGGTGGCTCCCCGCGGGCACTGCGAAGGTGCTGCCCTCGGGGGGCTCCCGGTTCCTTCCCGGCGGCACCTCGCGCGTGGGCTCTCCGGGCTGGGCCTCCTGCAGTGCCTTCTTGCGGCCGCGTCCGCATTGTGCCCCGCCGTGCCAGGGCCCCGCGCGGTCACAGTTTGGCACGGTGGTGGTGCATGGGTGGCCGGCACCCGGCTCGCCGCGCCCTTCTGCTCCTCCTCCTCCTCCTCCTCCTCCTCCTCCTCCTCCTCCTCCTCCTCCTCCTCCTCCTCGTCCTTCTCCGCCCTGAGGGGGCCGTCGGGGGCCCGTCCGTTCGCTCGGTGGGGAGGGGCAGCTCGCGTCGCCGCAGGGCGAGCGGCGGGGTTAATGAGAGCTCTGCTCAGGATCCAGTGCGACGTTGTAGTCGTGATGCGGGATCTGGGAGGTCCTTCGGCCCGTCGGCAACCGTAGCCTCGTCCTCCTCCGCTCAGTCCGCAGCGGGCCGCCGAGGGCCGCCGAGGGCCGCCGAGGAGGCCGCCGACGGCCGCCCCAGGTGCCCTGCGATGTGGGCGACGGCGGCTTGCGACGGCCGCCAGAGGCCCCCGAGGGCTGCCGATGTTCGCCGCCGGGTGTTACCCGAGGTGTTCGGGCCGCCGAGGACCGCCGAGGGCCGCCGAGGGCCAACGAAGGCCGCCGACAGGTGTTGCCCGAGGGCCGCCGAGGACCGCCGAAGGCCGCCGAGGGCCGCCGAGGGCCAACGAAGGCCGCCGACAGGTGTTGCCCGAGGGCCGCCGAGGGCTGCCGAAGGCCGCCGAGGGCCGCCGCCCAGGAGGAGCGCGAGCTCCTCGGGCTGCCGCGCGCGGGGCAGCAGCAGCTGGAGGGCGTCGACGCCGCGCGGCTGCTGCCGGGGCCCCGGCGCCTGCCGGGATAGGGCGGTCGTCGCCCGGGGGGCAGTGCGCAGTGCCGAGGGGACGGCTCGCCGGGAGATGCCGCAGCCGAAGCCCCACAAACTACTGCGGTAGTGCTCTGGGCCCTCCTCCTCCCCCCCCTCCTCCTCCCCCCCCTCCTCCTCCTCCTCCTCCTCCTCCTCCTCCTCCTCCTCCTCCTCCTCCTCCTCCTCCTCCTCCTCCTCCTCCCCTCCTCCTCCTCCTCCTCCTCCTCCTCCTCCTCCCTCCTCCTCCTCCTCCTCGCCCCTCCCCTCCTCCTCCTCCTCCTCCTCCTCCTCTCGCAACGGTCCGGCGCGCCCGGCGCGAATCTGGCCCAAGGGAAGTATACGCTCTTGATGGAACAGAGGAGTGGATCGGGCCGAACGAAAGGGGGGATAGTGGGGAAAGGAGGGGTCACGAAATCTGCCGCGTGCAGCCGGTTTCGGCCCCGCCGCCAGGCCCACTCCTCGACACATCGAGGCGCCTCCAGGCGCCGGGAGGCGGCCGGAAAGTCAGCTGCGTGAGCTGATTCCCCAGACGTGCGACGTCCTGATTTTTCAGGACGGGGTCCCCGGAAGTCCAGACCCTTTCCCCTTGACCAGTTTTCCGTTCTGAGTCGTTTTTTGACGGTTCCGAGGCCCGGCGAGGGCCCCCTGAGGCCGAAAATCACCAAAAACATCCCGTCAGGATTTTTGTTACGACGCGAGCATGTCTGGGTCTCAAACGCCCCCCTTTGGCTATCCCCGCCTCTCGCCCGGCCCGAGAGCAGAGCCAAGAGAGCCTTCCAATTCCCCGGCCGCGCGCCAGAGGGACCCTTCGCTATAGTCGGGGGCGGAAAAGAGGGGGGTGATGACTAGGGGGGGGGATATCATGGCGTGGGCCATGAGATCTCCCCAGATTCCGCGGCGCCGCTTCTCATTTCATGACGTCCCTGGCCCCCCCGCTGGGCCGCGCACATGCCGCCGGTCATGAGTTGCACTCCCCCTCTTGGACGCCCCCCTCTTTGCCGCTCCCGGGTAGGGCGCGCGCCTCGGTGCGCGGCTCTCGGGGAGCGCCTTTCGGGGGCCAGGCCCGGGCACGCGGGTTGCCGCCGTGGCCCCGCGCGCAGGCGGCCGGCAGGCCGCGCACCACAGAGGGTCGCCCGTGGTGTCACTGGTGGCGAGCAGTGGCGAAGCGTCCCGGCGTGCCTATTGCAGGAGGGGCAACAAAAACACAGACACGATGGAGCGTCGATGCCCCCGAACATGTGGGGAAATGCGGGGAGTGAGGGGGGGAGACAAACACCCCGAAGATATTGGGAAACATGGGGAATCCAGTTATTTGTATGTATTTGTGTGTGTGTGTGTGTCCCTGGGCCCCTTTCACCATCGGCCTACCAAGCAATGTTCTAGTAACCTTTTTGCGGTTTCCACGAGATGTTCGTAGCACATTTCTGGCTGGGACTCTATTGTTTTAACGCATCGGGGTTTGTTCTAAGAGCATTCGTTGTCTTCGTAGACCATTATTGGGTTCTGAGAACATGTCGTGGTAGGCCTATAGGAATGCCAGGGCGGTCGGTCCCTGCTCAATTGTGGTGACCATCGCTTCCTCAGCTTTTGTCTAGGCCTCCTAGATGGGGTCAGAGTAGATGGGGTCGGAGGACTGCGCCACATCGCCGATGCATCGCCGATGCGGCTCGACGTATGTGCAGCCCGATTTGCCTCACGTCGACGTCGCCGATGCATCGCCGACGTCGACGATGCATCGCTGGTGCATCGTCGATGCGTCGCCGATGCATCGCCGATGCATCGCCGATGTATCGGCGAGACGGCGCTATCATCCAACCCCATCTACTCCGACCCCATCTAGGAGGCCTCCATTCTGCCGTGGTCCAGGCCCGCCAGGAGGTCGTCGACGCGTTTGATTTAGGCGGCCAGGTGGTCTGCGCCACCCGTATCTGCTGGCAGTGCTGCTCCTCAGGCACTTCTCATCTCGCCGAGTTGGCAAGCATGCTCCCATCGGGCTCTCCGATGTTGCAACGGATGGATCGGCATCGTCTTCGCGAATCACGTCTGATCAGGGGATGTCTGTTCAGTTTTTGGTGTGTTCTGAAATCCGCAACGCCTCGCGCATCTCTTGTCCGCTCACACACACACATACTTTCTAGATGTAGTGAGCAACGCCGTGGAGCCCCCCCCGTTGAGAGTCACCAGCTCCCCTCTTGGGACCCAGACCGGATCTGGCCGTGTCCGCCGGACGCACATCCCGCTGGCGCCTGCTCGGGCGCATGCCGCTCGTGCCCGTTCGAGGCTGGCGTGCGTCCCAGGTGAGCGACGCAAGAAAATCAGGAGGGGGAAAAAAACACAGACACAATTAATCGTCGATTCCCAAGAAAATATGGGAAACTATGCGAAGTGTGGGGGGGGGGGAAGACAAAAACACAGAAAATATTGGAAAATGTGGGGAATATTGTTATTTGTGTGTATTTATTTGTGTGTCCTGGGGCCCCTTTAGAAAACGGGGTCGGCTGCGCCGACAATGGCGCGTCAGCTGCCCGCGCGCAAGGTCGCGCGCAGAAGCGCCCTCGTTCCCATTGCGGCGTGCCGCACCAGCGGCCCGCACAAGCTAGCGCGTGAGGTCGCCGTGCCATCTCGCGTAAGACAGGAGGAGGAGGAGGAGGAGGAGGAAGAAGAGGAGGAGGAGGAGGAGGAGGAAGAGAGGAGGGAGCAGGAGCAGGAGCAGGAGGAGGAGGAGGAGGAGGAGGAAGGAGGAGCAGGAGGAGGAGGAGGCGGATGGGATGACCGTTTTTTTGATCGTCGCACAGCTTTATGTTGTTCCCATCTCGCGTAAGACAGGGAGGAGGTGGAGAAGGAGGAGGAGGAGGAGGAGGAGGACAGAGGGGGAGCAGGAGGAGGAGCAGGAGGAGCAGGAGGAGGAGGAGGAGGAGCAGGAGGAGGAGCAGGAGGAGGAGCAGGAGGAGGAGGAGGAGGAGGAGGAGGAGGAGGAGGACCGTTCTTGATCGTCGCCCAGCTGCCGTTCGGCACGCCGGCTCGCACGGGGCGCCGTGGGCCTGGGCCACAGGCACGCCCGCGCGCGGGGTGCGCGCGCCAGCTGCGCCGCTGTGCCGCGTGAGGGCAGCGAACACGCGCGCGCCAGCGCGTGCCACAGCGTGCAGCAGGGCGCTCCGCTCCCGCCGCTCGGCTGCAGCAGCGCGCAACAGCGCGCAGCGCGCGGCTCGTTTTGGGAAGACGGCCATCACAGGCCTTCGACCCCAACATCTCCTTGAACACGGTTCGGGGCCGGATTCGCATCACAGCGGTTCTCGAGGTGGGCGACATAGCCGCCTCACCATGGCCAATCAGCTCGTGTTTTTGTCATTGACTTCACAATATGCGTAGCATTAAGTCGGGCCTGTCCCTCTACAGGAGAATATTCAGAAATGGTCAAACAATAGTCTGGGGACGAATTTTCGTTTAGTTGGGCAGTTTTAGTGTACATTTTGTTTTTCGTCCAAAATACGCCTGTAGGAGGACATGCCCGACCTAAGCGTAGCATGCTCCCCCCTCGCGTCGTGGCAAACATCGCGACGCGAGGTTTGTCGCAGGATGAAAAGCTCGTGTTTTTGTCATTGACTTCACAATATGCGTAGCATTAAGTCGGGCCTGTCCCTCTACAGGAGAATATTCAGAAATAGTCAAACAATAGTCTGGGGACGAATTTTCGTTTAGTTGGGCAGTTTTAGTGTACATGTTGTTTTTCGTCCAAGATACACCTGTAGGAGGACATGCCCGACCTAAGCGTAGCATGCTCCCCCTCGCGTCGTGGCAAACATCGCGACGCGAGGTTTGTCGCCTTTTTCGGCCTCTCACCGGGCCTCGGGAGCGCCAGAAAACGACGCAGGATGAAAAGCTGGTCCCGGGGAATGGGCGTGGACCTCCTGGGCGTCGCGCCATGAGAAAATCATGTGACATAATACCTCTGCCCGCTGTTCATTTCTAATTCTTCGACAGTTCTCTGATTTTTTTGTGGGGCAGGATCCTTTCATGACTAATTGTTCTGTCCTGGGCCTCTTCCTGGCCACTAGGTCACTAGGGGGCCAGGAACAATTCGAAACGAGCACAATTAGAAATGAGCACGATTAGAAGTGAACGACGTGTACCCTTCCTCCGCTTTTCCCCTATTTGGGCCACCGCTGGATTCGCCCCGCACTCCTGCTCCGAAGGCACCTCGGGAGAGCTCCGGGGAGCACAGCGGTACAGCGGTGCCTCTTGGCCTCCTCGGAGGTGCACCGTGTGGGCCGGCCTCCCGCGCCGCGCGCGCTGCCGGCCGCGCCGAGGCCAGAGCTCGAGCTGCAGCTCCAGCTGCTCCGCGCGGGCGGCGCTGCGGCGGCCGCCGCCGGCGCGGGCGCGCGGGCGCCCGGCGGCGGCGCGGCGGCCGGCGGCGCGGGCGCGGGGTCGCCGGACGGCGGCGCGGCCGCGCGAGGCGGCCGCAGCGG